ATAAAAACACAGTTTAATACATTTAGACAAACTACTTTTAATTACTTCAGCGACATTGTCAGCATGGTCTTCGTCTAACGGCCTTAAACTAAATCCTTCCAAATGTCAAACTGTTAATTTCAGTTTCCGATGTAAACGATAGTTAAATGAAGCTGTTGGTTCCTATGACCCTTGCAAAATCGATGATACTGATGATAAAGAAATCAAGTCTGAAGTTAAGTATCTTGGATTAATTCTTTCTTCTGACCTATCCTGATCTTCCCATGTCTTAGCGATTTCTAAAAGATTATTTCGTCTGACTTTTTACATTAAGAAGTTAAGGCACTCAGGCATAACTCAACCCCTCCTCTTACAGTTTGTCAACTCGTATATTTTACCTGTTCTTCTTTACTGTTCACCCTTATTCTTTCCTGGATTGCTTAAGAAAGACTATGTCATGATTCGTAGAACTCTGAAGACTGTCAGTAGGACGAGTGGTATCCCATTGGGCCATATCGTTGACATCGTCACTGATAGCCAGACACTTGATGTCATGCAACAAATTCGCTAAAGGAATCTTGTCAAATTCTGAGCACCCACTCTACCCGCAGCTCCAACCTTGTGTCTCCTCAGGTAAAACAAGAAGTCTTTTCAGAAGACTTTATGCACGTACGTCTAAGTATAAAAATTCCACTATACTATATTTGGCACGTATTTTATGTGATGAAAATAATGTCAAGCATGAACTAACTAACCTTCTTTGCACTACTAAATAAACCATTTCCTTCACCCTTACAATACTAACTTTATTGTTATTGTACTTCTTATATTTATAATCGTCTCAGTTCTTTTTGTTTTTATTTTGTTTATTTTTTCATACGTGTGAACGTAATTTAAGCTGTGTTACAACTGTTAATTTTGTATTTCCCTTCACTATACTATATCAATAAAACATAAGATTCAATAATCTATAACATGCTAAAATTTCCAAACTGAATCGACAATACTGTTTGAAACAAACTCACTGTTATTATTATTATTATTATATTTAGTACTCAGTTCGTGCTTCGAATATTTTTGACTTTATATAGTAAACGTGGACAAATTCCTCTGGTTACTTTTGTTTTAATTTTCAATTTTATTTATATTTTGAGTAAATCAGATGCAATATTGTGACAAATGCTGAAAATTCCATCCTGTATTATAAGTACTGTTTTTGGAATAAAGTAGATTATTATTATTATTATTACTATTATTATTATTAGTAGTAGTAGTATTATTGTCACGTTTGAACGCCAAACTCATAAACAGTGTCTTCTTTGACACTGTGATTCGGCTGGAGACGGTTTCCTTCTTGATGTTTCTGTCAATAAACCTTCTAGGGTATCCATTATTTAAGAGAGTTGTGCGAAGGTTTTCTGGTTCTATGTTGACCGTATCTGTAGAGAAACTTTTCTGAATTCCGGAGCATGGTGGATGGATAAGATTTCTGTTCCTGCTTAGAGGTACCTAACTGTTGAAGTTAGCAGACTGCCCTGTAAATGTTGGCTTTCGGTAAATCGCCACTTTTAAAGTGCCGTCTTCTCTTCTACCTCGCGTCACATCTTAGAAGTGAAATGCGGAATTCCATTGTTCTTCGACAGTGGAAAGCGTAGATGAGTGAGAACCATTGAATTTACCATGAAGCTCACCCTTTGAACAATTTTCATCACAGATAATCGAGGTGTCATCAATATATCCCCTATACATACAAACTTCAGATTGCTTATTTCGGTGGTCCACTCTTTGAGCTCGCCATAAAGAAATAATCTGGGAGAGATCATAAATACAAAGGCCCAAATATTCCCTGGATTTGTTACCTTATTCAGGTCAACTAATCTAGATTTTGCTGGGTTTTTATGCCAGGCTAGTTGCTACTGACTGCACCTGTTCGACTACTTTGACCTATGCATTTTACCTGACAATCATTGTAGGCTGGGTATTAGATAAACTAAATTGTTCTGTTTTAAAGGCTCCGCAGGATCCTTTACCGTAAGCGACAAAACCTGTTTCCAACTGAGTTTGTGGGTTGGAATATCACATTTATTCCTGCCTGCATTGTTAAGAATTCTGCATGACCTTTCTGAGGTTCTTTCTTTGCATGGAATTACTACTGACGATTTAGATTCCTTATTGTTGGTGTTGTCATTATCCTGTGCATGTTTGACATGCATGTCGTCATTACCATTACTATTATTATTATTATTATCACTATCACTACTATCATTATTTATTTCATTTTTACATTTCCCTACATACTTTCTGACTAATTTATCAGGGTAATTAATAAGTTTCAAAGCTTCTCTTTTATACAGAGAATCAAAACAAGTGATTCAGCTAAGAGACTCTTTTCAACGAATTTATTCCGAAGCTGTACAGTCGTATATATATGGTTTTTTTAAGAAACTATATCCGGTGAGGGAATTAAATCAAAGGTGTGAATACATGAAATAATAATAGTAGTATGAAATGCAATTAAAATAAAAATATTTGTGATCATATTCATAGTTAAATGTCAAGTGGCAAAACAATTAATGTCATATATAGAATAACTCATAGGATGTATAGAACTTGGAAAGGGTGTGCAATAATAGGATTAGTAGAGAAATCCAATAAAAAAATAAAAACGTTACTTAACATTGTGTGAAATTTGATAGCTTAGAGTCCAGCGTTGTAAAAAGGAATTGATTTAGAATGACAAGTGTAAAGAGTGAAATAATACCGGGGACAGTTCAAAGTGAGAATAGTAATAGTAGTAACAATTGACGTAATAAAGGAAGAGTATACAAGTTGAATAAACAAAACGAGAAATAGGTAAAGCCAAAATGTGATTAAAGATTGCCATACTTTAGCAGAGAGGGATTAAAACCATGAAAGTTGGAGGCGTTAATCGAACTTTTTCTGTATACTGAGATCTACCTTTTCTGTTTCGATAGCCAAAGTTTCAGCAATACAGATGAGTCGGATACGTAGTGATTTCGGTAAATTACTTTTTGCCTAGTAGATGACTTTAAAGACAGAGACTGTAGAGAAATGGTGATGATTATAGACCAGATGTTCAATGATCGCGCTTCTTATTGCTCCACTTCTACCTCTACGTAACCATGCAGGATAGTGTTCATGCACCTTCTTGGGAAGAAACTCGAGTCAAACGACCAATATACCTAGCTCCACACGAGCAGGTGAATTGATAAACGCACATAGAGTTGGTCAACTGTGGGACCCTGTTCTCAAGGGGGTTATTGAACAGTAATGGTCGACTGCTATTATTTCACTTGTTCCATTTGTCATTCTTAATCAATTCTGTTTTGCAACATTAAATTCTGTGTTGTCAAATTTCACACAATATTACGTAACGTTTTTATTTTATTCGATTTGTCTACTAATCCTATGATTGCACACACTTTCCAAGTTTTATACATCCTATGAATTATTTTATATATGACATTAATTGTTTTGCCACTTGACATTTAACTGTGATTATAATCACAAATATTTTAATTACATTACTATTATTACTATTATTATTTCATGTATTCACACCTTTAATCTAATTCCCTCACAGGATATAACTTCTTACTAGTTGGCATTCGTCAGTAAGGCGTATCAGCAACTACCTTGAAGGAACTCATGTCCCTTCTGAGATTCGAACGCGCGTCACCCAATGTTGCAATCATAGACGTTACCAATGAGCCACATTACAAACCTGACTGATAGGATTCTGTCTGCACCAAAGAGAGGACTAGACACCTCACACTAGTTACTAGTGTCAAATCAAAAGAAGATTTAGATTTTAAATACTAAATCAAATCAGTGCTCGAGTAGTTTAACGCCTCACAGAAAGTATTTCCAACAGGCTTGTGCATGCCAAAGGTTATATGCCCAGCCAATAAAAGGATAAGCGACAAGGAACTCTAGCAGGCAATGAAACTACCAAGAACGTACTGATCAAGAAATATTGGAGAAGGAAATGGAGATAGGCTGGGTATACGCTAGTGAATGATATCCCACCCTCAAGTGGAACCCGAATGGGAAATGACAAATTCGGTATGGTTCCAAGTGTGACATGGAGGGTATCGTATGAGAAGGAAGTGAAAGCCTATGGACAATCGTGTAGCTAGTTAAAACAGGCTGAAATGGAAATGTATGGCTGAAGCCCTTTTGTTCCACTTGGAATTCAAGGAAATAAAAATAATTTTCTATAGTTTGGTTTGTAAGATTAGTTTTGTTTTTAAGAGTTTCACCACCGATTGATATCAGTTAGAGAGCCATTGAAAACCAGCCACAGGGAGTACTGCCAGACAGCTGTTTCATCCTACTAGTTTGGGAATCATCGCCAGTACGCACCCACCTCCAGGGTGCCAACCCAGGACCTTCATGTTACAAGGCAAGCTGGCTCATATACCATTCAGCCACTGGGACCCGATTCACTGGCCAACCCATGAATTCTAACTTCAACCAATTCGTGATTTACGAGTTGATCAACTCGTAGAAACAAAACTAACCCTTACAAACCAAACTATAGAAAATTAATCTGATGCTCGCTAATGACTTCCTGGAGTTCTGGTGAGAAGTCGTGACCAGTGAGGTCCATCCAGATGTCACGTGTGAGAATGGATGTTCCACCGACGACATTGGTTGGTGCCAGTCGCGCTAAATCACGAATTGGTAGAAGTTAGAATTCATGGACTGGCCATTGAATCGGGTTCCAATGGCTGAATGTTATACGAGCCAGCTTGCCTTGTAACCGGGAGGTCCTGGGTTGGAACCCTGGAGGTGGGTGCATACTGGTGATGATTCCCAAACTATTAGTATGAAACAGCTGTCCAGTATTCGCTGTGGCTGGTTTTCAATGGTTCTCTTACTGATATCAATCCGTGATCAACTGGTAAAAATAAAAATAATTAATAATAATATATACATATAACATTCATTAGATCAAATTAATGAAAACATTGACGAAAAAATGAAGACTGACTTACTCTTAAATCTTTTTTACTTGCTCTTTCATTTTGTGCTTGTAAAATAATTTCAACAGCTGAAACATTATCTTCATTGATAGCATGTAACAGACAGTCTTTCAAGTCAAGCGCTGGTATAGCTACAAGAAATTGCAACAATTCCATATGTTCATTTTCAATAGCAATACGCAGTACATCACGTCCAAGTGTATCAGTACAATTCAAATTTAACTTTAAATCAGTTGATTCATCAGTCAATTGTTTAATTGTAGCTAAATCGCCTTGTTCAGCAGCATACAGATAGATACGTTCAATTTCAGATAATTCACCTTCAGACATAGGTAATTCTAAACCGCCTAATTCAACAACTGTTTCTCTTCTTGACACTTCATTCACTCTCCTATTGTAGATATGCTTAGTCATATTCTCGTTAGTTGTTGTCGGTGTTTTTGTCCGTATTGATGCTGTCTTTTGTTGTTGTTGTATCAACACCACCACCAACACCGTCATCATCATCATCATCATCATCGGCAGGATTTCGTAGAACATTATTTTCAACTTCATCTAGTAAATCGTGTACTTCTTGACGTAATTCATTCTCGCCAATATTTCCAACTCCTTTTAGATTAATCAATGAAGTTGTATGTTGTGGTGGTTTATGCTGCGTTTTTCGATACTTTGAACTTTTACGTTTTTCAGTAAATGGCATATTAGTAGTATTAGTAGTAGTAGTAGTAGTATTGATAAATTGGCTTAAATTATCTGTACTATATGAACGTCTTCTTGAATCTTTTTGATGCTGTTGCTGTTGCGTCTGACGCTGTTGACGAGAAGTTGCTTGAACTGCTGTGCTGCTGCTGCTCTTCCCCTCTGTGATAATCTCGCCAAATGAATTTGATCGGATAATTCAAGTTCACTTTGTTGTTGACAGATTTCTTCACGTTTCTCTAAAGCAATACGAATAATATCAGCAAAACTTTGATTTCTTGAATGTTTAAGTAATTTAAAGTTATTAGTAGTATTTATCCTTATATTAGTAGTATCTGATATACTACTATTTGGATTATTGTGATTATCGTTATTATTATCATTATTAAATACACTCATCTTATGACATCTATAAAAATAAGACTAATAATAATAATAATGGTGTGTAAGCGTATGCATCAATAGTTTGGGGTGTATATATATAGACAAGATTTATTTAACGCATATGAGAGTTGTAGGACCAGATGACTCTTTTGATATTGATTTATACATGGAAAGTGTATTCGTCGGGCTGTTTCATTTGTTGACCATGACAATAATAGTGAATGATATTCTCTCTCTCTATGAAGAGTCTAAGTGTACTATATGATATGATAATGCACAATTCATCGAAAATATGTTAATCATTGGAGAAATTCTCCACATGACTGAAAATTACATAACATACATATTTTCATTATTATTATTATTGACATGAGTTTGCCTGTGATTGGTTTACTTTCTTCGTGTGAGTGTGTGTGTGTGTTGGAGTGGGAGAAGGGGAGGGGTGTTGTGTCATTTTACTATAATGGTCTTGTTAAGTATGCAAGTATGCCCATTCTTATTTTGGATTAGACAAAGAAAAAACGCGGTTTTAGATGGAAAAAAGTACATTATCGACTTTGCGAACTAGTCGAACTAGTAATGAATTCTAAATTTTATTATAAAGGTTATGGAGACGAAGTGAATTGTACTTTGATTGGGCATTAGATAATGTTCACAATTTTTCCAGTGTCGTGCTTAATAAGTTTCAACTGAAGGTGTTATCTCTAGGTCCTAAATTTAGTGATTATGCTCCTAAAGTTGACCAACTAGACACGGATATCCAGTTTGAAAATTTGTATTCCCAAACGTCAGATCTTAACCCATCATCGGACGATGAGCTAACTAGGTTCAAAAAGACGCTAGTTGACAGCTGCCAACAATACAGCAATAATAGACATTCAGTAAATAGTCTGTTATCTAAACAGCACAGAGAAGCTCTAAGAGAACTTAGAAGTAACAAAAGCTTAATTATTAGCAAGTCAGATAAAGGTGACGGTATAGTTTTACTGGACAAAAGCGATTATGTTGAGAAAATGTAAGGTATTTTGAGTGATCAAACTAAATTCCAATCTCTTGGTGCTTCCAAAGACCTCAATGTAAGGGCGGAGAAACTAATGACCGACTCCCTCAAAAAACTGAACCAAATAGGAGTATTATCATCAGCCAAGTATGAGTCTATGAAACCAACGGGTACCAATACTACACGTCTTTACGGTCTACCAAAAGTGCACAAACTGGGCCTTCCTCTTCGTCCTGTTTTAGATATGTATAACTCTCCATTTCATGGAACAGCGAAGTGGTTAGTGAAGATTTTGGGTCCTTTGCACAGAGAAATCGTGCAACATAGAATTAGTGGTCTTCGACTTTATTTCTAAAATATCCGAGACTAATGTAAAGTATAAACGCATGTTATCCATGGATGTATCATCACTATTCACTAATGTACCGCTTATGGAAACAGTAGATTATATTTGTCAAGAAATCGTCGAAAGGCAATTAGACTTAGGAATCCCCTTGTGTAGCCTCAAAGAATTACTTCTTAAATGCACAATGAATGTTCACTTTGTCTTCGATAATTCATACTATCGACAAGTAGATGGAATAGCCATGGGTTCACCATTAGGCCCAATATTAGCCGACTTCTTTCTCGCAAAACTTGAAAATGGGAAATTGAAGGACATCATCAAGGAGTTTGATATGTATTACCGATATGTCGATGCTACATTTATCTTAGCTGATGGTAATGTTAACATAGACGAACTGTTGCTGAAATTCAACAACATTCACCCTTCGCCTACCTTTACTTGTGAAGAGGAGCAGGTGAATAAAATACATTTCCTGGATGTCTTGCTAAGTAGGAGAAAAGATGGGTTACTTGGGAGAAGCGTGTATAGAAAAAGCACTTTCACAGGGCAATACACACACTTCCTTAGTTACGTGCCCATTAAATATAAAATGAATGTTGTAAAATGTCTTGCGAGCAGAGCAAGAAAGATATGTACCGATGACCTCTTACAAAAGGAATTTGAATATATTCAGGATTCCTTGATGGAGATGGGCTATCCGAATAGTTTCGTAAAGGAACATGAAAACATTGGAGAGGAAACGTGGGACTATGACTGCATGTAAAAAATTCCTATTTATTAAGTTACAATTTAATGGTGGCTTATCAAGAGAGATTTTATTCCAGAGACTTTTCAGGAGTATGCGAAGAACGTTCTACGCAGCATACCTGTGTCTGTCATTCTCTAGTCGACGAATGATTGGGACACAAACGAAGGATAAGCTTGATAGTTTTGCCACATGCATGTGTATTTATCAATTCAACTGCACCTGCGGTGACAGTTATATTGGGCATACTACTAGACAGCTTAGCCAACGTGTCAGTGAACATATCCCATCGTGGTTTGGCGAAGGACAGACTACAACAGTTCGTAGCTCAATTTTGTCACACTTAATTGATAGTGGTCATGTAATCGAGAAAACGAGGGCCTTCAAAGTGATTCATCGTATCCCACTAAATCTTTCCAATAGACTTCGTATTCGTCTACTACACACAGCTGAGGCGATAGGCATTCGAACTATTAAACCTAAACTATGTATTCAAAAAAAGTTCGTACAGCCATTATCCCTCCCTTGGCCTATTAAGACATAACCAACTAATCACTTCTACACCACCCTTTGTTTATATTTTCAACCCCTTTCTTATCATCCCTTAATCTTATCTTCATTATAAATGTGTTTCATTTCCTTCCCTTACAATCTAACATTACTTAACCGGTTCATTTGTTTTTACTAGCCTTTATCGACTACTTCCACCTGAACAGTTGTTTCTTTAATCATGATGTTTTTCATTATTCGTGTTATCACAGATTGCCTCACTTTTTCATCCTTATTATTGATAAGACCATTTTTATTATTACTATTATTATTATTATCATTACTACTGTTATGACTAATTGCACAACTTATATTTACCATCGTATTATCCTATAGACTAAAACACCATGATTGGTTTAAATTTGAATTTTTATTTGTAAACTTCTGTGGGCATATTAGAGTTAAGCCTGATGAGATCTAACTGAAAACAATATTGTTCGCTTAAATGTGTTGTTCTAAACATTAGATAATAACAAATGTCATGCGTCTATTTCTTGGTGTTAGTGTAGGCTGAATTGCATCAGTCAGGTTTGCGATGTGACTACCAATCTAGGTTTCTCCACCATCCATGCCCCCTTATCTCAGTATACTCTGAACTGATGTTAAATGGTTGGAGGTAGTCAGCAGGGCACCTTAAACCTAACTCCACATTAGTTTGTTTATTAGATACAGTATTATTTACTGGATGACAAAGTTTCGGACACAATTTATTGCGGATCATAATCATATTAATTATAGACACACAACTTCGAAACTTGAATTTTATAGCTTTCTTTGTTCTCTCCTATTTGTCGTCGTTGGGGTAGTACAATTTTCCAGATATCTGCCTGGACAGGTGTTGAATCATTCCTATTACACGTGTTTGCAGTTGATTCGATAAACAAAGCTTCTGTTATCAATCTCTCCCTCTATTTACGCTGTTACATAAGATTTTAAAACTGTCAACTTATTCCATCCGATTTTATGGTTGTGTGTGGTTGACAGTTTTAAAATCTAATGTAACAGCGTAAATAGAGGGAGAGATTGATAACAGAAGCTTTGTTTATCGAATCAACTGCAAACACGTGTAATAGGAATGATTCAACACCTGTCCAGGCAGATATCTGGAAAATTGTACTACCCCAACGACGACAAATAGGAGAGAACAAAGAAAACTATAAAACTCCACTTTCGACGTCGTGTGATTATAACTGATATGATTATGAACCGCAATAAATTTTGTTTGAAACCTTTTCATCCAGTAAATAATACTGTTTCACTCACTGTGTGATACATCTAATAAACAAACTGATGTGGAATTACTTACTACCACAGTGCCCAAGTTTTACACATATATTAATAAGCCTTTAACCTAAGTTTCCAGCCAATTGGTACTCAACATTCAGCAAGGTATATCTGTAATCTTGAAGAGACTCATGTCCCTTCTGAGATCGAAACCCTAGTCAATCAGTGATGAAGGCAAAAACGTTGACATTGAGCTATTCTCAGAAGGCACATACGTTCTTTCAGTACTGCATATACGCATTGCTGACAGCGAATGCCAAGAAGTATGAAACCTAAGCCCAAGGCTTCCTGCCAATTTCCTCCAACCATCTAACAAGGTGGATTGTAAATATTAATCAGTTTGCTTGTAGAGCAGAAACTTTATTTCTAAAGTGTTCATTGATAAATACTCTAAAGAAATGAGCTCCTGAAAAAACTATCCAAGCAGTCCCGAAGAAGTCTGTCTACACTGCCGTTTAAAGGAGATGATGTAGAGGAAGTAGTCAAACGGAGACTCGACAAAGCTATCAACAGAACTTATTATGCTGCAAAGATTGTCTTCCTTAACACCACCAAGCGAGTGCTTCAACAATCTGGGGAAGATCAGTCACCAACCCTGGACACTTCAAACTGCGTATTTCAATTTGAGTGTGTTTGTGGAAGCAAATACATAGGTCGTACGGAAAGGCGATTGTCTACTCGCATGATGGAGCATTTGCCAAAATGGTTGAAAACAGCTGAGTGCAAAGTGACAAAATCCTCAATAACAAAACATCTTGTGGACTACGGACATGATATCGACTCTGTCAAGTCATTGACTATTGTCAGCAGAGAAAGAAACAGGAAAATTCTTGGAACTGCAGAGGCTTGTGCAATTCGAGTTTATAAACCAGGTCTCTGCGTACAAAAGGAGATGGTCGTCACTCTGAATCTACCATGGTAATAAGTTTTACTTATTAACTGTTGTTATTAATATTGACAACACTTTATTCAACATCTTATTATTATTATTCTTGATTCACTTAAAACTATCTTTTATCAGTAGCATTATCTTAACTCACTTCAGCATTATTATTGTTATTATTATTATAATAACTATTACTATTGATTTA